GGGCGGCCCGGGTCCGAGCCCCACTCCACTTAGCGCAAACTTGTTTGTCTCCGCTCGGCGCCGCGAGCTGGGCACCGCATCCTCTTAAGGTGGACTGGGGAAGTTGCGGCCGGCCTCCCTGGCCTCCTGGCTCCGGCCGCGGTCAGTCCCCGCTTCCCTCTGCCGACCGGCTGGAGGCGGCGAAGGAGTGGGGGAGTGGTGGGGACTCGGGGTGTCCGCCTTTGCCCCTTCCCAAGCGGCCCCGCCCCTGCTCCAAAGGAGGGCCCAGTTGGGGGTACGCTTGGGCCATAGGGGCCCCGATTCTGTCCGAGCTGGGCCTCGGTGAAGGAAAAGCAGGAAGTAAGTGAATGTGGGGGGAAGGGGGAGAGGAAGGAGAGAGTGATGGTACAAAAATAGCGTGTGTGTAGGAAGGATTTCAGTGCCGCCTGGAAAAGAGGCGCAGGGGAGAGGAAGACTGCGAGGAGGGCTGTGGCCAGGAGACTAGAGGGGAAGGGTCCTCACCTCCCTGGGGAGGTGGGCGCTCTCTGCCAGGTGCCTCCCTGTGGCAGGCTCAGGGGGTGCGGGGAAGGGGGGCTTCAGTTCTGAGCTCCAGGAACATGACAAGTAATGAGTAATCATATGAGGGCAAAGGAGGGGAACAGAGGCAAGAGGCTTGGAGCTGGAGAGGACAGAGCCTCAGTATGTCTCTGTCTTTCAGGTTTTCTGTCCCCCTCTCCTCCTTCCTCTTTCTCTCCCCTTGTTCTTAAGCTGAGCTGTGTGCCCAGTAGCAGCCAGGTCAGTGACGGTGAGTGGGAGTGCTGGTCACCTGGCGAAGGTGGCTCAGGACAGTGGGAGGGAACGGAGTCCAAGGCTCTCTGCTAATGGGGCTTGGAAAGCAGCCACATCCCATTTTGCTTGGCGGCAAGGCTGTGAAGTAAAGAATATGAATGAAGCCACAAAAGGGAGCCCAGAGAGGAAGCAGACTTGCCTCAGGCCACACAGCCAGGCCAGGGGTAGAGACAATTTTGACTTTCTGAATCCCAGGCTAAATAGAGACCTTTGCAAAGAGATACCCTCACTCCCATCCCAGCCTCCCTGTGGGATGCTGGTCCTGGTCTTGTGCTAAGAGAGAGGCAGGGGGGGCACAGCTTGAGAGCAGGGACCAGACTCCCTGGTTCCAATCCTGCCAGCTACCTCTTACGAGCTGTGTAGATTTGGGGTGCTTCACCTTCCTCGTCTGAAATGAGGCCAACCTGAGTATCTACCTGAAAAGGCTGGAGTGGAGATTGGGTGAATTAATACTTGCACAACACTTTAAAGAGTGTCTAGCATGTCCCAAGTGCTCCATAGCACTCGACAAATAAGTAAAGTGTTTGACAACAGTCCTGGGGAGCCCACAGGGTTCTGGGCAGTATTTGAAGTACAAGGGGATTTTTTTTTTCCTGTGGGTATGGGAGATACAGCAGGAACCCTCACAATGTTCCTGTCCATGAGGCATTTACATTCTAGCGGAGAGACAGATAAGTAGACAAGTAGAAATAATTAATGAACAACAGAAGATTGAGCTCAGAGAGTGAGAAGGGTGTGCTAATTTAGATAAGGGTGAGGCCTCCCTGAGAAACTGGGAGCTGAATCACAAGGGGTAACAGGGTGAGGGTTTGGGGACTTGCTGTTCCAGAAGAGGGAGCGGCATAGATAAAGGCCCTGGGGCCAGTTTGGCTGGAGGGGAATGAGTGAGGGATGGGGGAGAGTGGTCCAGGTAGGTGGTCTTGCAGGCCTTGGTAAAGCATGCGTTTATTCTGCAGATAGGAAGTCATTGGAGGGTGTAAGCAGGAGAGCACCATGGTGTGATCCATATGTGTAAAAGCCAGGCCAGCCTGGCTTCCGGTGGAGAGCGGGCTGCAGGGAGGGGAACACGGACTCAGAGCACCAGTGAGGAGGTTGTCCTGGGGTCCTCGTATCTGAGTGGGAGGTAGCGAGTCTCTAACTCTTCAGGCCGCATCTGGCGGAGACCATGAAGGTGACCAGCTGAGACTCCTGGGGAAATCCATTATTAGAATCCATCTGGGTGGGAATGGGGGCAGGGGCTGCTGATGAAGGTCAGAGATGAGGCAGACCCTGGCCTTGGCTTCCAGAAGGTTCTGCCATTCCCCATTCCCCAGGACACACGTGCACACACACACACACACACACCCTGCCTGGGATTAGGAGATGGCGGATTAGGGAAGGATAATACTTGAACCACCTGCTATTTATATATAGCACCTCCTCTGGCAAAGGACCCAGCAGGGGTTCCCAACACTAGGGCAGTTTCACTGTCCCAGGAGGGGGCCTAGGCCTTGTTTTCTTGCTCCAGCATCCATGGAAACATCCCCCTTGGCCAACCATCAGGGCTGGGAGGTCACTGAGACCCATGGGCAGCCGGGTAGCCTGAGGTTGCTGGAATTTGTTTGAAGTCACAGTGAGATTATGGCAGACATAGGAGGCCTCTGGGCTGCCCTGGATTAAAATTGAGTTGCCTCATACATATACGATTCATTCATGCAATCAACAGTATTAATTATGCGTCTACTATGTGCCAGGCTCCGTGCTAGGCACTGAGGATGCAGCAGGTGGGGAGAAAAAAAAACAACAGACAAAAACTCCTTCCCCAAGGAACTGACATTCGAGCGGGGACAAACAAGCAAATCAGTGTGTACACTATTTAGTCTGTCCGATGGGATAAAGCTATAGGAGGAAAAAAAGCAGAGAAAGGGCCCAGGAGGGCCAATGAGAGGGAAGGGCCTCAGAGGAGGTGATATTTAAGTGACTACCGGAAAGACTCGACAAGGGAAGCCAGAGGCGGCTGCATCCCTGCATTGCTCCGACTCCTCTCTGTCACTCCTGGCGCGCCATCTGTCAGCAGCACATCCCACTTGGCTGGACCATCCCTTCAAATCCAGAACCAAACCCCTTCTGAGCGCCTCCACAGCTGTTACCGCCCTGGTCTAAGCCTCCACCATCTCCCTCCTGGGCACCCTCTTCCTCCGTCTATTCTCCACTCAGCAGCCAGAGGGATCTTTTTATAGAAGCCGGACCATGTCCCTGCCCTGCTGGAAAGAACTCTGGAATGAGCAGGAGGAGGGGAGCACCAAGGGCTTTGAAGCCAAGACTCTGCCCACTTGACTGATGAGACTTGGGGGAAACTTTTTTATGAGCCTCAGTCTCTTCATCTGTGAAATAGGAATAACCAGGTCTCCCTGGTCCCAGGGGCAGTACTGGCACAGGCGTGAAAGCAGCCATAGTGGGAGCATCTAAGGAGTTTGCCTCTGTGGGGGAGGGGGGTGATGGCGCCCCTGTGTGTGCCTGGCCCTTCTACCTGCATCATCTCCCTGATGTCACGCCGGTGTGTTCCCAGAGGTAGGGAAACAAGGCCGGAGGCAGAAAGTGACTTGACCAGGGTCACTCTGCCAAGGCGTGCTGGAACCTGCAGGGACCCAGTTCTGTCTGGCACCAGCCCTGCCCAGGCTCGGCTCCTCACTTCCTGGAACCCTGGGCTGGCGTCAGCAGGCAGGCCCGCCAGGCCGCTTTTGTCTGGGGCCTGTCAGGAGGCTGGAGCTGCCAACGACCTATTTTTCTGGGCAAGAGGAGCCATTTGGAGTGAGAGGCCTCAGCTTTGGAGCCAGAACAATAAAAATAAAAACAGCTAGGACTCCTGGGCAGCCTGGACCAGGGAACCAACAGCCCCAGAGAGGAGCTGCTGGCAGCCTGGAGAGTAAACAGGGTGGGGGCCCTACTGCACAGCGCCCCCCACCCCCGCTTCGGTTCTGTTCTCTGACTTTATCTCCAAGGCTCCTGCCACCCATTTTATAGCTGCAGAAACCAAAGTTCAGAGTGATAGTAACTTGCTGGGGATACACAGTTACTGAGGGGCTGAGCCAGTTTGGGTTGGAACTCAGTTCTTCAAGTAACAACAATTCCTATTTGTTCGGCATCTACTATGTATGCTTCACAGGCATGTTCGTGTGACATATTCACACCGCACCTGGGAGGGCTGCTAATAATTCATTTTACAGATACGAAAGCTGCTTTAGAGAGAGGTCTCTGCTCACAGGTCACCCCCTCAGAGAGGCCTTGCCAGACCACCCA